AAATCTGTTAATTTTTTTTTTTTTTTTACGCTTCTCAACTAGATGATAATTATATATCTCTTGATATTGGAAACTACGAGTCCTCAGGACCCAAGGACTTCCGAATTTTTGAGTCCTTTTTTCCATGAAGTAGTCTTTATTTAAAATGATAAAAAATTTTACTTTAAAAAATGTAATTACGAAAAAAAATGTGATTATTGATTGATTTAGTAATTGTTGAAAGAAATCTCTATATCAATTCTACCCAAAATAATTTTACTTTTCTCATTTCGTTTTTTACACAGAAAAAAAAGTTTAATTTTACCTTTATAAATGTGCTTTCTATTTTTCTCGTTAGGGAATTTTTTTTCTAGTCTTCCATACGATTTTCTTCATGTTTAACGCGCTACAACGCATGAACAAAACCACCGTGCCTTGTCTATTGTTTCGTTTAGGAGCTCGCTACGGCTCCACATGTAATGTTTTAAACCCCAGGCGCAGTCGTTGAAGGCTGATGATTGACTCCGCTGATGAAGAGCTGGAGGTTGTAAGTTCGATTCTGATTGACAACTGAATTAAACACCAGTTTGTACACGCAGTTGGTACGCGTTAAATCTGTCCTGGCTGAAAGTCCTCGCCCTTGTTATGGTGAGTGGTGACGAAGTTTGGAGACAGGGGTACCAGCTCAGGTGCTGTTCAAGTCGCCCGAGTCAAATTCAGGTGGCATTTCTACCATGGCCGTTAAAAGATAGTGACCTAAAAAAAGAGGCTAGGTGCTTGGCTATTGCTGGAGGGTGTACTTTAAAACCTGGGAAAGTTGGCCCATTTTATAAAAATTTCTCAAATTATTATTTTACACTGATATCTGTTCAGAGGACAAACTTTTACCTACTTCCTTAAATGCCTTTATTTTCATTCCACTTTCTTCTCATTCATTTTCTATATAATTAAAGCCGTGTTTTCTTCCATGAGAAAACAGCTGCTTAAGCTGCATATTTTAAGTGCACAAAAACCATGCACCTGCACCTGAAACAAACTTTACCCGCCTCCTCCATGATGAGTTTTATATTATTTTCATTGTTTTTTTTTCTATTCTGACTTGTGAAAAATGTCAATAAAAACTCTTGAAAAAAAGAGGCCCACCCATCATTTTAAACATGCCTTTTTTTCGGTCTATTGGATGTGCGACACTTTCCTCTTACTTCGCAGCAGGGGGGTCGGATCACGTGCAGAATTCACTCATTAAGATGGAAACAGGTCCTTTTCACTTTCATTTGTTTTGCTCGTTAACTGGCTTAATATCTTTCTTTCATTTTTTTTTCTCGAGGTACATCTGCCGTATGATTTTGTATCATTTGAATTTGCGAAGTATTTCTTTTACCACTTAAAGCGGTCTATGCAAAAAATTACTATTGCTACATTAAGTCTATTATGAATAAAGGTTTAAACTTCGATAACTTTCCATTTTAAGGACTATTTTAGGGCAATTTAAAGATTTCAGAGTAATTTTTGCTTTTTCTTCTTTTTTCTTAAGAAATCGCGATGTATTTTTGTTACGACTTAAAGCGGCGTAAAAATTGCTTTATAAAAAATGCTATTGTTACATAAAATCTGTTATTTGAATAAAGGCTCAGACTTAGATGACTTTTGAAAAATGATGTTTTGTTCTTTTTTAAGGCAACTTAAGGATGTTTTCTATGATTTGGTCATTTTTTGTACGAAAGCATAAAATAAATAAATAAACATCCATCAAAATCGTAAGAATTTGTAAGAAAAAAGTTTACTAAATATGAAAAGTTTAGACTAAATATATAGACTTTATTATCTTTTATTTATAAAAACGAACCAAGCAAAGTCAGACATTCAGTTATTAGTTCCTAAATTTATAATATTTACATCAACCTGAAACAAAATTGACTCTAAATCGTTACAAAAAGTGAACGCATTTAAAATTATTAATAGGAATTACGAAGTAACCAAAGATGAGGCCACAATCTTTAATATTTGCCATTACAGAAATAATAGAAAAATTTTTCCCAGTTATAAACAAGATATAGATTTTCGGTTTATTACCCAGTTTTTACTGGGAATAAACCGGTTTTTTGGGAATGAAAGTTTGAAAAATGCCAGGTTTTAACTTTTTATTTCGAAGAGTTTAAATTGTCATTCAAATCAATGCAGTCGCATTTTTCAGCAAAGTAACAGAAACCTTTCATACGAAGCATTATGGTTAATATGTTGATTAACTTTTTTAGACTTTTTAAATTTTTGCTTTATTTTTAATAATTTATTTGAAAAAATAGTATTCCGCTTTTCTTTTTAATTTTAGTACTTTTTTTTTTAAAATCTGAAGTACTTCTTTCGTGAATTAAGGCGGCGTATAAATTTCGTTTTAAAAGCTATTTCGATTTCTTTAGCAATAATCGAGACTTGACTATTTCATACTGTTTTTTGAACATTTTAAACCATTTTTGTGTCGTTAACTGTGCGTCTCATTTCGTTTTCTAAAAAAACTGTTTCGATTGTTTAATCAATAATTAAGACCTGAATATTTAAAATTCTTTTTTAATAATTTTAAACCATTTGTGTCGTTAATTGTGTGAGCAATTGGTAAAACAATTAATGAATAAATATTTCTATTATTTTTTACAGCCTTGAAAAAAAATTAGAAGAAACGGGAGATGGGAAAAAAAGAAAATTTATGAATTTTGTAAACTCGTGATTATTTTTATTTACTTCATTGACATTAATATTAAGATTTTCAGCAAAAATGATCGTATACTTTACTGTTATATTAACGTCCTATGTAATCCTTTAAATAGTTATTCACACATTTATATAATAAATGAAGCTACACTATCTAATTATTTTCAGTCCAATCTTAAAGCTTTTCAAATCACCGACAATCACATCTATATTTAGAAAAATGGGACTATAGCGTGCATGTGGTTTAACCGCAATAAAACAAATATTCCACACGTTTCTTTTTGAAATCATTTTCAGCCACTTTGCAGTTGAAGTGGCTTGACCCATTGAAATTCTTATTCTTAGGATGTCCAGACGGTGGATTTTAATATGGCCTAAATCCATACATGGTAACAGTTCTCAATAAGCTGCCGATTAGGTTAGTTACTGGTTTGAACTTAACGGCTGTTTTACTTCTTTTTTTTCCTTCCCCCTTTTATTTGTCGTCTTAAGTGTTTAATTTGACATGAAAATACTACAGACAAAATAAATTGCTCATTATTCATTCTTTTTTCTAAAAGTTAATTTGATTTCTGGTAATTAATGTGAGGATAATGTTTGCTTTTTTGATTGGGAAACAGTAAGTTAAAGGCATTTTAATTAGTATTGACGGTAAATTATGATTCTTTATGGTTTACCTTTTATTGCCCATTGTATCATGCTCGGAGTAATAATTTCAAATTAAACTCTAGGTTGTTTATTGATAAATTTTCGTTTATTTATTTATTTTTTTTTTAATTTTACTTTCTTTATTTTTTTTATAAATATATCATCCTTAAGCGTTTGACAATAAAATTCAAACGATATAAGTTTAATTACTATTAGAATGTTATCGTCAAAATAAGTATTAAACAAAAATACCTATGTCATTATTTTAATTCTGGGAATACGTAATAAACACTATCTTTGTAAACTTGCTTCACGAAAGTACTATAAAATTAAATTTTATAAAAATGAATTGAAACGTAAATTTTGTTTATGCGAAATTACATCGATTATTTTTATCTCAATTTAATTATAAAATTAGATTATTACAATATAATTTAAAGCCACTAAAACTCCCTTCATGAAACTTTTAAAAGGCAAAATACATGTTATAATACTTAAAAAACTGCACTTGGAAAATTTTCAATTTGAAATAAAAGTTAAATTTGCGGAGAAAAAAAAGTTGGGAAAAAAACAATCTTTAACGCGTTTTAGAAGTTAAGAGTTTTTGAAACTGAAAGAAAACACTTTGAGATTCTTGAAGAATATTCTACTCAAAATTTTATAAAAGTAAATTAAAACGTAAATTTTGTTTATGAAAAATTACATCAATTATTTTTATTTCAATTTAAATATAAAATTAGATTATTACAATATAATTTAATGTTATAGCTAAAAAATAAGGTGTTTCATACATCTTACTTAATCATAGAAAAAAATTGTAGTTTGCTCTTTTTTCTTCCGCTGACAAAAGAGGGAAGAAAGGTTCAAAATTGCCTAAATCTGAACTATAATATTTGAACGGCCATAATGTTTCAAGAGCACAATCACTTCATGTTAGTTTTTTGGTCAAATTTTTCTGCACTTAACTACCAAATAAAACATTAAATTTCATTCTGTCCAAAAATATTTGATTAATTTCATTATATACAGTTAATGTGACTTTTCTGATCATTATTCTGTAAGATTATTAAATTTTAAAATAAACTGTAACTGACCAGATTCAGGTTATGTTAGGCTTGCTTCCGTGGGCTGCATTGACAATACTGGTGGGCTGGCTTTGGCCCATGGACAATAGTTTTAAATTAAATCCATAATATACAACTTGACAAAGAATGTACAACTTGATACCATATTATAATATCAGCAAATTAGAATGGTATTATGATTGAACAGGCTCCACAGTTTCTAAAAATGCATTGGACAGGTAGTTAACGAAAAAGAATGCGCAGTTGTCATTAGATTGGGCAAAATGAATCATCAAAGTGGTTCGACTCAATAGAATCAGTTCATTTTGGTGATTCGAATCAGTTGCAAGTTGGTGATTCGAATTATCAAATCAATACCCAACTCTGGTTATCCTGTAAGTTAAAATCGAAAAACTATATCCCCTCAAAACACTAAGGAAATATCGGAGATGCTATGATACTATTTTGCTTAGAAACAACGCTAGATGAAAAAAGATTAAGTACCTTCAGAAGATGACGCTTGTCTACCTGATTTAAATGTTCTTTCTTTGAGAATACAATATCTGTAAGCATTAGTTTCTTAGTAATTTTTCTTTTTTTCAGATCTTGGTTGAATTATGTCTGGCCTTAAATCGGAGTGCCGAAAATTTTCTCCAAATGTGTTTAATAAAACCAAGTGCCAAAACTGTTTTCGAATCAAAGATTCCCACTCAGCTGAAGCATTGGAAAGTAACAGGGTAAGTAAAATATTTATGAAGAATGAAACTTTAATCATTTCTCTTGTCTTCGAAGTCGGATTTCAGCGTTGCAAGTATATGGAAATGAATTTTTTTCATTGTTATAAGTAGTGTAAGTTAATCTCACTTATGGAATTAGCATTATATAATTTTATATTTATTATTATTATATAATTTATATAGTAAACTCACTTATGGAATTGTACTACACCATTTTTCAAAAGCTTATCCACTGTGTTATCAATAGAGTAGGGGTGCACAACCTTTTTGAGTGAAGGGCCACATGCGCAGCAGATTGACTAGTGAAGGGCCGCATGCCAAAGGGAACACCCAAAGTATTTAGACAAACATATTTATAGCAATTTTAGGTAGTAATTGTTATAAAAANCGTTGCAAGTATATGGAATTGAATTTTTTTCATTGTTATAAGCAGTGTAAGTTAATCAAAGCACTTATGGAATTAGCATTATGTAATTTAAGCATTGGGAATTCTACTACACCATTTTTCAAAAGCTTATCCACTGTGTTATCAATAGAGGATCCTGAAGATTTTTTGAATTTATTTTATTTTATTTTATAACCGTCTTTGAACAACCGACTCAACTTTGGGTTTACGACTACTAATATTCAACTCCGTAGCCACTCCTAATTTTTATTTTACTTTATAACCTCTGTGGAAATGCCGACTTAATTCTGAGTTTATACAATGTTTAACTCCATAACCTTGTAATTTTGAACCCAATCCAGAAGACAAGGGAACTCCTGGGTTAAGTATTGAGACAAATTCAAGCTAGCCTGCACACAAAGCCTCAAGTCTCTTTTTCCTGGTACCTCTGTCATGAGCCAGTCTTCTTGCCTCTTCTCATCTATTTAGTTCTGGTTGGCACGGATCTCAATTTATTTATCTTTGCCCTTCCTCTTTTACGTTTCCCATCGGGTGCCTAAGTAAGTACGATGTTAGCAGGGCTATCCCGTTTTAAACGAAGAATGTGCCGAGTCCATCTTCATCTTCATCATGATTTTGCCTTTGTTAGTAAATCTTTATTTAAAATAATCTTAGGGGAGAAATTTTTTAAAATAATTCTTAAACATTTGTTCTGGAACGTTCCCAGTTTTTGTACTTCAGTTTTACGGAGGTTCCAATATTCAGCATTATATAAAAGTATAGAGCGAGCAACAGTTTTAAAAACATGACAGAATTATAAAATTGGACTATCACTAGAATTCTTCTTTTTTGCACAACTGCCCAGAGTAGGTCAGCGCCGTCCCCATGAGCTTTATGAGAATTATACGCAGTTATATTTTGTCATTATTACAACTATTATTCGATTATTCTCTCATTTAAAGAATACTGGGGCTGTTCAAATATTTTATATACATATAATGAGGGAAAGATTCTGCAGGAGGAAAAGAAGGTTTAAGCTGTATTTACCACAGTTATAAAATATTTCCTTTATCTAAAAAAATAATAATCCCTTTACAACTTGTTGAAATAAAGTTAGGATAAACTTCATTTTTGAAAAAAAAAATAAAGAAAGGGAAACTTATGATTTACTTATTATTGCTGATAATAGGGCTCGAAATGTCCAAAAATATGATTACATAATATTTTAACGGTCCAGGGGTGGTAGAGCGTAGGCCTTGTAGTGAAGACCTGTAGTGAAGTCAAATGATTTTCAAAACACACTCGAAATTCTGGGTTTACAAACTATGATTAATAAATATCGAACATTATTTTCTTTTTGCCTAATCTTAAAAATAGACGAGTTTTAATCATATAAAAGATGTTTGTTGGTACATTTTATATATTTTAAAAAACTGATATTTGTGAATTCATTAAAATTTCCCTTTCTTACCTTTTATGGTGGATAATAGAAATGGTGGAAATAAAATGTAAAGAATGGATAATTTTATAGAAAACCTGCGCCCGTCAACGGATTTTTCAAAAATTTTTTAAATTTTTTACTGTTAAAACAAAGAACCCTTTCATAAAATAATGTATTGTAAAATTGAACCTTCCTCCCTAATTTTCATAAATAGAGTCGATGACGTGTTTAATTCATAATTTTAAAGCAAAAATTCTTTGAAAAACATAATGTTTGGGTTTTCCCCCCACAAAAATAGAATCTCATTTTCGCATATTTTTTTAAAAAAAGCAGAAAACTGGCAAAAAAAGCTTTTAAGTGATTACAGATCAAAGAATTTTGAGTGATGAATAAGAATTATAATTTCTCGAATTCTCAAAAATAGAACCCTTTACAAAAAATCGAAACACACAATTGGTTTTGAGATTTTTCACAGAACCACAAAATATGAATAAGAATTTTTACCAAAATTCTGGAATAAAAAGTAAGATAAATAAACATTCTTTTTTTAATAAAACTGTTAACTTACTCTTTAACCTCATTCTCTTTTAAGCTTACAACTTCCAAATTGTTCTGTAAAAAATTTTTAAAAATTATTGTCAATGAAATTATTTTAACTGTGTTACATTAGTAAAAGTTTAAATTATTTTAAATAAAAATATTTTTTTTAAATAATATGACGGCAAATTTTTGCTGTAAAACAATTTTTATGTTTAGTTTTTTAAGTAAAATGCTAAAAATTAAATTGTGTAACAATTTTGTTTTTCGCTAATCGCTTTTCGTTTATTACATATTATATGTGTCGAAGTATTAAGTATATTATGAAAGAAATATAAAGTATATACTTCTGTATCCTTTTCCCTTCCGCAATTTTCGAAATCACATTTAAACAAAAGCCGTAACTGGAACGTAGTAAAATATGCCAGAAATGCATCTGCGCCGAGTGCGGATTCAGAGCACGTCTTTCTTTCCTGTTCGGCAACGGCAAAATCAGCCAGTCCACTTGCTAATTCTGCCCTTTGGTCAAGCTCTGTAGGGCCTTTGGATCAACAAAACAAAAACAATGGGGCCTGCAAAGTTGATCACTTGCATCATTCGTAAACAAGAGGTCATCGACCTATGTCTAATGGCACAAACGATCGAGCAAACCGAAAAAGGGCAAATAAGAACAAACGAATGCGAATAAAGAACGTTTCTGAATTAGATTAATATATCGTCTGAAATTAAAAAAGATAGAATTTGAAACGGAAGCTCGAAGAAATGTTTACTCCTGGCTCTAATGATCGTTCTTGTTTATTTCTGTTGAATTCTTTTTCTCCAACCGAGTATCAAGTCACTTTTCTGTTATAAATTAAGCAGGAAATAAAAACAGAGTGGATGGTCTCGGTTGGGTCTCGTTTAACTACTCTTAATTAATCATCTTATGTGTCCACCCACTGTGATGAGACAATATAAACTGTATTGTTCGTAAACTAAATCTACTGTCATTAAAGAATGATCTATAATGAGAATACTCCAGAAGTTAAAAAAAAATTAAGTTAATATTTAAATGCTATATAAGGTTAATGAGGATTATATGTAATAAATAAAATAAAATCTCAGTGTGTTGTGTTTTCTTATTGCCTGCAAGTAAAAGGCTTCGGTATTAAATGTTTTGACTGAATGGGAATAAATAAGCTAACAATGTTGAACATATTATTTAAACGTAAGATTAGGTAAAATCCCTCAAACTACTTCGATAATTTTTTATTATTACATTTTCTTAAAATCCTGTTTATTTATCGTATTTAAATTTTCTTTTTGAAATTTAAACTGAATATTTTTGTGTTTTAATATTCAATTATTTTAGTCGTGCAGTTCGAGCATATTATTCGCCTTAAAAATTATTTTTAAGCATTGCACCTTATTTTGCAAATAAAATCCCCTGAGCAAAATAAATAAATAAAACTAGTTAAATGTTTCTAAAAACGCAATTTAAGCAACATGAAATATATAGGGTGGTATTACTTGCTATCACTTTTTAGTACCATTATCATTAGTAAAATAAAAAAATATGCTTACTGCTTACAGAAAGTTAAGGACTGTGTAACTTAAACGACTCTAAAACTATTCGGCACTCAAACTGGTTATGAAGCTTTTCTTACTTAGATTGCTTTAATGATTCACCATATAACTTTCTTTTTTTCTCCCATTTGATTATGAATATGTGGCACCTAAAATGAATATTTTTTGCCGGCATTTTTGAAAAGGATTCTCAAAAAGTGCATCAGTTACCGTGATAACGTGATTACGGAACACCTATTTAATTTTTCCCATCCTTTTTTTAATAACGTTGATAACCCTTAAAACTGTATAATTCCGAAGATATTCGAATAGATAATGACAATTTATCTGTATCAGTTTGTGTAATTTCAGATTGTATCATTTTTAAAGATTTTGGAACACGTAAACATACATATATTATATTATATTATGTTATGTCATGTCATGTCATGTCATGTCATGTCATATTATATTACATTACATTACATTACATTACATTACATTACATTACATTACATTATATTATATTATATTATATTATATTATATTATATTATATTATAGCTTCCTTTCGTCATTCTTTCGATTGATTTCAATAATTAATTTTCACCAAGGTGCGTAGCGTTTTTGAAAAGTGCTTAAAGGTGCTTATTTTTAATTTACGTTTTTTAAAGCCCTTAAAGGTTTTTTTTTATTCCGGTTTGTAAAAGTGCTTAGTTTTCTATCTTTTAAAAAGAGATTTTTTTTTCGCCGTGTCGATTGTGATTCTAAATTACAAAAAATGTATGATTTTCATTATTTTCTCTGCAATATTTATCAGAAACTAGTAATTTTATCACGATTATGTAAAGTTTCTGAATTTTTTTGAATTTTATTGATTTTATGTTTATAAATTAAGAACTTTAAACGATAGAAAAAAAGAATTTTTATTACTGCACAGATCCTAATTATGATTTTTTTTTGGAAACTGATTAAGATTATTTTATGAGTGCTTAAAAAGAACTTAAAAGGTGCTTATTTTTTATTGAAAAATCTGGCTTCGCACCCTGTTCAACTTAAAATTATTCATTCATAAATTTCATAAACTATTCTT